ATTTCCCACCTCCCCTTGGTGGTCTTTATCTTCTGAACTACCTCCGGCTCTCCCGGCAATGATGCTACTGGGAGTCCTAATCATTGTTATTGTAAATGAGACTTTTGGAATGGAACCCCAGGTTCCCCGAGCACACTCTCATCCCTTAGTTCCCACCCAGCAGCCTATCCTTGGTGTTGCCACTTTTGAGACCAGAGCTGTGAAGGCGGTCATCCATTCAACTCCCCTCCCCCGTGATCTCCATAGCAGCTTTGTGAGGAGAGCAGAGCAAACATAATTTGTTTTTCAGTTTAAAAAAGAAATGATCTCAGGGCTGTCTAGCTCAGCTGGGGCCGTGCTGGCCTGGCTGGCACACGGCCCTGGGTTCAATCCCCAGCACGGCAATGCTGCACAAAACCAGGCAAGCATGGTGGTGCATACCTGTGATCCCAGCACTTATGCTCATGAGGTCAAGGCAGGAATATCAGAAGCTCAAAGTCATCTTCAATGACATAGTGAGTTGGAGGCCAGCCTGGCTACGGGAGACCTAGCTCAAATAAATAAAGTCCCAAAGACTTGTGAGAAACTGTAGCTTGAACCTCTTGCCCTCCTCAAGCCACACAGGAGCTTGTCATTGTCCTACACTATGTACTCAACAGAAGAAAAGGCGTGACAGATTTGCCGAGATAATAAGGACATAAAAGCTGTGAAGGTTGCCAGGGCATGGTGGCACGCACCTTTGATCCCAGCACAAAAGCTGTAAAGGTATCCCAGAGAAGCAATGGAACTCGGACAAGTGGGAAGATGGATGGGTTCTTAAAGTAGTTCAAGACAACTGAGTCGGCTTGCAGTTCTTACAGGACTGTGATCTCTTCGCATGCCACCAAACCATCAGTCATAGGACAAAGAGGGGGTACAGAGCACACAAATGCTGAAGCGCAGCAGTCTACAGCCGAGCACTAAATGGAGGTACTGTATTAAAGAGACTCATGCTTCTGTGTCAGGTGGGTGTGACTGACGGTAAGGCCGTCTCTAAATGCCGGAAAGCGGGAGCTCTGTGAGCCGGCATTTTGGTTCATCCAGGGCGTATTAGCCAAGACTCTTGTCCTCCAACTCATTCCCCTTAGCATGTACTGAGTGTGTTTCTTGAGTATAGGAGAGGGGAATGCAAGAGCCTCCTGCTTCTGCATAAAGAGCCTATTGCATTTTGATAACTATTTGGGCATGTCCAAGTCAGCAAGCTATGCCTGTTGGATCACACTATGAAACTAGTGTCTCATGAACGGGTCTGTAGTTAGATGATGACGTAGGTCATCAAGGCAGAGGAGTCCGTCAGCTCTGTCTCCTAGCCCAGAGGTACTTGTAGCCAGGAGATCACTGGTCATGACCCCTCAGCTGTGTAGATAACAGATGGCCTTCGGCTTGGTTGGTTTGATTTGGAACCGATTCATTCAATGGTGCTATATACAAGTGTATTTTGAATTCTGATCTTTCACCTGGCTAGCAGGATGAAGTGTAATATGTAATAATATTCTCTACCGGTGCTGGGCAGTGGCATTGGGACCCAGTGCCTGGGCCGACACAGCCACAGGAGAATTGCTTGGCGGTGATGTATCGTAGGTTATGTGCGCTAAGTGCATCTTGAGCTCACCATATCTTCAATTTAATAAGGAGTCGATCAGGACGTAACCCCTTTCTTAAGTCAAAGAACATCCATGTATCACTCTAACTTGGACTCCCAAGGCTTCTTTGTAGTTGCCCATCCCCTTCCTCTCTTTGTAGATTGGAACAAGGAGGGGCAGCCATTAGGAGCACTCAGCCTCCTTCCCCCAAGGTGTTCCTCTATGCATCTTGTAGCTCGCCCCTTAGGGTCCTGCAGCGATGCTCTTCCAGATGCCTTAGTGCTGCGGAGCCTCAGAGCCCACTAGATTCACACGAGGCTTCCAGGAACATGAGAAGCTATTTCAGGAAGTGAACAGAGGAACCTTGGGGAGGGGAGGGGGAAGGGAAAAGAAAGGGGAGGGAAAGCGGGGGTTTCTGATTAAGAAAGAGCAACAGCAGCTTCAGGAAGGGAAGAAGTAGGTCTACAAGGATCACTCTAGCCCACTGAAGCCCTGGTTGCTGGCAAGTGTCAGCGCAGAATGGGATGCCTTGCACACCGGTCCAATTTTCCTGAAAGCATTTTTCACAGAATGTTCTGCATCATAGGTTAATGTACAAGACATGAGCCGTAAGTGGAAAGTTGGCAAAGTCCTTTGGAAATTGGCTGAAGGGCAGGAAACAAAGGATAGCAGTAAAAAAACCTAAAAGACTGTTAATTGAGGAGTGCCTCGGGGAATGGGGTTGCTACCGGCTTTGTATTATTTACATAAAAATTGTGTGGAAAATGGTATTGAGAGGGATTTTTCATGCTGGCTAATGAAACCGCATTAGTGAGCTGAGAGTAGAAATGTGAATACAACTGGTGAAGATTCCGATTACAGATGGAATGGAAGAGCAGCATTTTCAAACATGTTGGTATGAACCCGCATGGTTCTGTTGGCCTGATTTCCATTTTGTGACTGGGGTAGGCTAATTTCAGACTGAAGGGATCGACCTGCAACTTCTTGGACCAACGAAAGCATTTTTTGAAGCCCTTGGGGCACCCTGTTCATGGGGTAGATCCTGAGACAGTATTGTCTTCAGATCTGGAAGCATCGATTTTAGGAATGAAAAACAAATGGAAACTCCTCTTAGCTACAGATGGAAGACCTAGCCGCCTGAGATTCTCCACCCCCCACACCCCACCACCCCCCCACCCACAACCCCACCCCCACCCCCCATCCCCCGTTACCTACTATTTTCCTGTTTAGTGGAGCTCAGATGATCACAGCAGCTCCATGTCGATCAGCCCCAGTGCGAAGCTAGCCAGCTCTCATTTAACACATCATGGAATTAACATGGCGAGGTAGGACTTGGAGTTGGGAGCCCAGGAGGGACATGTACTGTCCTTCCCATAGTCCTTAGGAAACTAATTGCATCTGGCATCACAGAGTCTGGAGAGTCCTTGATTTCCAGGGTCAGTAGGACTCCTGTGACCTTGCTACTCAAAGTGTGGTCCCCAAGTGTTTGCACCTCTGATATCATCACCTAGAGAACTGCCGGTTCCTACATCTCTAAGTGCTCAGGCTTCCTGGCTGACTGGTCTGCACAGGAACACTTGTGGAAACATGGCTCCGACACACCCAGCAACCACCGAAAATAAAGCAAAGGGGGGGGCGGGGGGGGTTTGGTTGCCTCCCATCGAAGGAAAATACGACATGAATGGCTTGAGGAAGGATTATGTGAAAACTCAAGTTCTCCCCTTCTAGCCTTCGCCGACCCCAACCCCACGTGCTCAGAAGGCTCAGTGCTTTCTCCAGAATGTCAGCTCAGCCCTAAGGGCGCATGCCTTTTGAGGAAAAATAAAAGAAATATTTAAAAGCCGGCAGAGTATGCCACTGAGTGTTCTTCCCCTGGGGGTGGCGTCAGGTGCTGGGCCATTAGCTAATTGTGACGGTCTCATCCACAGGCCAGAGAGGTCTGGACCTGTGGGGGCTCTTCATTTGAGCTCGTTTACCAAGGTTAAGCATTCTTTTAGTTTGAGGCATCCCACCAGGTTGTCTGCTAACCCATAGGACCAGCCCCTGAAGGATGTCACTGGCCTAGACAAACCGTTCTAGAACAAAGACTGGATTTGAGCCATCTGGTCGACCTCCTAGAACCCCCATTCTCTATGCCTGCGATGGCCAGATGCCACCAGTGTAAGCAGTGTGGGGACACCAGAGCAGTTGCTTATGCCACATTCTCTTTGCCTCTTCCCACCCCTACCCCAGTGCTTTCTCCAGGCCCGCAGGGTAAAGGAATTGAGAGAGGGGAAGTTGGTGAGTCACTAAATTCATGTTTGTCCTCAATCCATGAAGTAGTAGTGTAAGCAGGGAGACTCGGCAGAGTCAGGACGGAAGGGGCTCTGCAACCCCCCAACTCCTCTTGGCTCCTCCCTGGCCCCCACCAACCCTGTCCAGGTAGGGCAAGCATCCTGTTGTGCTCTCAGTCTCGCCCTGATGAGACTTGCTTCTTAATTCTTTCTAGCTTTCTCAGGATGGTCTGTCCCTTGTAAAGAGTTTCTTAGACGGTCTAACAGTGTTGAAATATCACTACCCGTCCAAGGCATGAGATGAGAAAAGGCAGAAAACCTGTCCGACGGCATGCTTTGGAAATGCACTTTGAGCTTTCGTCTTTCATAAACTTGTCCAGATTGGGTTTTGTCAACCCCAAGTGTGATATCAGCCCCTCGTTCTTACCAGGAAGAAGGGGGACTGTTGTGACCCATTGTGCCTCAGAGGAAATAGGCAAGAATATTTCAAATAAATTATGCATTAAACAAAGTGTGTCTTCTTTAGTCCCTTAATAAATACGTATGGAGCCATTTCTTAAAATCCCAAGTGGACTTCATCTCCTCTACAGACTGTTTCTTAAAATGGAAGAATCTGGTTTTTTTTTTTAACTTTATATTTATAGCAATTGGAAAAGGATGGTTCTTAATATATGCAGAGGAAGCTGAGCAGGCCAGCTCCATGCTCGTTGTGGCTTACAACAGTGTCCACGTGTAACTCATCACTTCAGCTGTGTCTCAAGCATTACATTTTCAACTCATATCTTTCTTGTTAATTATGAAGCCCTTTCCGGGCCCCATTCACAGTTGGGACTAGGCCTAAGTGTCTGTAAGCAAGTCCCAGAAAGAGGCTCCCTACTCCACAAAGCTTGCTATGGGATCAAGTACCTTGTAGTGCGTCCATGAAAAAATAGTAGGCATGAAGTGCAATCCTAGTTAGTCTTAACAATGAAAACCTGGACTCAGATATCAAGGGTGAAAGAACATAAGACAGACCAGAAAAAAGCAAGGAATCAGAAGCTGCTTGATTAGAGATGAAAGAAAAAAAACGTATCACCCACCTACCCCCTCTCCCCACTTCTCACATTGCAGTCTCCGTTCTTTTCAGGTCAGAGTCTACGATCTCTCCCAGTATGAGCATGGAGCAGATGACGTGCTGATCTTGGCTACTGATGGACTCTGGGATGTTTTATCAAATGAAGAAGTAGCGGAAGCAATCACTCAGTTTCTTCCTAACTGTGATCCAGATGACCCTCACAGGTTGGTGCGTTTGGAAGCACTGGGTAGTCTCACTCACTGGGACCCCTGCTTTCCAGTGGAGGCTGAAGGAATAGCTTTAGTAATCCAATACGGAAGGGACTACGTATCTCATGAGAACTCGTATGGGCCTATGACCACAGAAAAACCCTCCTTAAGTTAAACCCAAATACAGATGGCAAAGAACTTGACTTAGTTAAAAGTTTCCCAATGGGGGCTGAGGATGTAGCTACATTAGTAGAATGCTTACCTAGGATGCAGAAGGCCTGGGCATTTTTGATAGCACCTCAGAAACAGCTTGGTGGTACATGCCTGTAATCCTAGCACTTAGGATGTGGAAGAAGTTCAACGTCATCCTCAACTAAGTAAGGAATTTGAAGTCAACCTGGGCTACATGAAACCTTATTTAAAAAAACAAAAAACAAAAAAACCCCGCAACATTTTTTTTTCCTTTGTGAAGAGTAAGAGGAATTGAGACAGGTCCCAATATGCAGTGCTGGCTGGCCTACAACTCACTATATAATAGACTAGGTGTCCTCACACTTGGAATGAGCTCCCTGCCTCTTCCTCTGCAATGCTCGAAGTACAAGCCATCGCACCTTCCTCCTTTCTCGAGTTCTTACTTCTGGTTAATCTGGCTTTTGATCCTGCTGAGAGGAAGGATGACCAATCCTTTCATGCATTGATCATCCCTTAGGAAATTCTTTCTTTGGGGAAGTTCAGAGCAAGGAGAAGGCCGTTCCAGTAGAGTAGTCAATACCCCTAACAGCCCTGTAAGACTCAGAACCCTAGAAGGAAACACCTCTACAAGAAAGGTAGCTTTGGCTACGACACCACGAAGTGATTCAGCATGAGTAAAAGCCAGCAGAGCAGCAGACAGTAGAGCTCGACCTAGAAATATTCCCTTACTGAATTGGTTAGCAAAAAATATAAATAAATGTCTTAGCTTGCATTAGAACATTTTAAGAGCTTGGAAAACATGCTCAAGGAAGAGCTAGGAATGGTGGCACTCCCCTTTAATCCCAGCACTCTGGAGGCAGAAGCAGGTGGGTATCTGAGTTGGAGGCTGACCTGGTCTACAGAATGAGTTCCAGGACAGCAGCAGGGACTACACAGAGAAACCCTAGCTCCAAAGGCCAAAATCTTAAAGAAAATATGATCAAGGAGAAGAGATTAGGAAAATCACTATGCAGATTTTTAAAACATGTAAATGGGGAGCTGGATAGATGCCTCAGTGGTTAAGAGAACTTGCTGCTCTTACAGAGGGCCCAGGTTCAGTTCCCAGCACCTACATGGCAGCTCATAACTGGCTGTATCTCCAATTCCAAGGAATCCAACATCCTCTTCTGGCCTCCAAGAACCAAGCACCAAGCACCAAGAACATACACGGTGTGCTTATATACATAAAGGCAAAACACTCATTCACATGCAATTAAAAATACATCTTTAAAATATATAAATGGAACTTCTAGAATGTGTGTGTGTGTGTGTGTGTGTGTGTGTGTGTGTGTGTGTGTGTGTGTGTGTAAAGTAAGAATTCAGTGACCAGGTTAAGGACAGTTGAAGCAAACATTGGTGAGTTAGAAAATTGGTCTGAATAAATAATCTGTCATATAGCTCAGAAAAACCAGAAAAGAAACAGTGAACCATTAAACATGTAGAAAGTTAACCTAAGATGTTCTATATATATGTCCAAAAGGAGATAACATAAAAGATGGGGAAAGGGGGAATTACAGAATCCTTGAACAACACTAAACCTAAAATCTAGAAAACCCAACAAATCTCATAAAAACCAATACAGGAAACTGTAAATAGGTACTTACATTTCTTAATTTTTTAAAAGACTTTCTTGCTTTCACGCTTTGCTTACTATGTCTATGACCACATGTGTGCCATCCTCACATAGACCAGAAAACGGCATCTGATCCCCTGGAACTAGAGATACAATGGTCGTGTGCCAACATGTGGGTGCTGAGAATCGAACCCAGGTCTTCTGGAAGAGCAGCCAATGCTCTTAACCACTGAGCCATCTCTCCAGCCCTAAATAAGTACTTCTAAGGAACTAAAGAACATTAGATGCAGCCACCTCAGAGATGCTAGGAACAGATGGACACAGAAGTAGCCCGTACACTTATAACAATCTTCTCAGGCACAAGAGAAGAGTCAAGAGACTCTGGGCTTGGATCTTCAGTTGACTGAGCGCAAGGCTGCCAATCTGGAAGATTTTTCCTGTGCAGGAAAACTGTCAATAAATGAATTAAAGAAATGGCAAACATAACAAAAACTGAGAAATTTTATTGCTGGCCAATCTCTGAAGAAAATCCTGAAGGATGTACTCATGGAAGAGAACGGAAAGATCCTGGATGAAAGACCCAAGAAACTGAAGTATAAATATAAGTATAAGTAATATGTGGATGAGCATAGACACACATTCTTCCCCCCCCCCCCCCCCCCCGAGAAGGGGTTTCTCTGTGTAGTTTTGGTGCCTGTGCTGGATCTCACTCTGTAGACCAGACTGGCCTCAAACTCACAGAGATCCGCCTGGCTCTGTCTCCCAAGTGCTGGGATTAAAGGCATGCGCCACCACCATCACCCAGCCACATTCTTTATATAAAACACTAATGGGGTTTAAGTTGTTAGAACAAATTTACTGGATTAAAATAGCGTGTTAGCCAGGTATGGTGACACTCACCTAAAATCCTAACACTTGACATTGGAGACAGAAGAATCGCAAGTTCAACAACAGCCTGAGGTACATCGTGATCCCATCTCAAAAACAAACTCAACAACAAAAGAGCGTGTTAACTGGCAAAGGACAGTAATCTGCTTAAATAAGCTATGTTTCTTTTCTGTTTGGGAACATGTTGAAAGTATTTAACTCGTAAACTTTAAACAAATGTAAATAGAGAAACTAACATAATAGTATAATGCCTCTGTTGATAGTGGGAAGAAACCCACATGGAACTGAGCCATATCTCTGAACATCTTGTAAATCAAGGAGACAAATTATACTGCAAACTAGAAATAACCTGGGTCTGGAAAATAGTGCTACATGTGGAAAGTATAAAGGCTGAATCTTGGCCATTCTTTTTTTTTTTCCTGGTTTACAAGCTGAGGCTCCACTCACCTCTGATGTACCAAAAGCGACTGCCCTCCCTCCCTGTCATAACTCCATCTAGAATTTCCCCTGTGTTCTAAGGCTCCCCAACCCCATCTCTCTGACATTTTGACCACAGATAACAACAACAACAATAACAAAAAACAGACTGAAAGAAACCTGTGACCTCAGAGAAAGACGTATAGTGTTCTCAGCCTATACGCTCCATATAAACATGCACAAAAGAGTCCATGCAGCTCCCAGGCTCTACAAAGCTATCCACCTGTATGTATTCCTCCTGGGTATATGCCGCACACTTCCAGTTCCAAATCCATGGCACTTACATCGGTAACAAGCATCCAGTGCCAGAAGTGTAAGCCACAGACTAAATCTCCAAGGAAGGTCACAGGAGGAAAAATAAAGACCAAAAGGACAACACGTATACCAAGAGGATAAATTACAAAGCCACAATTTGATTCTTTGAAGCATCTTAACACATGAGAGAAACACAGACCAAAACTACAATGGACTTCCTCTTCACACTCACCTAAGGGATGTCAGGCAGTCAGAGAAGTAACATGTTGTGTGGAATTGCTCTTCGAAGAGGTCCCAGGAGCAGGCTTGCAGTGGGCTTTCGGGTTGGAAGGGCGGCAGAGTGGGAGTGTTGAGTAATGAGTTGCCTTTGGAAAAGAAGGAGAACAGGAGATCGATGCTGGTGGTAGCTGCACTGTAATACAGGTGTACTGAAAACCACAGAAAAGCACTTTGGATATATATCAACTTTAAAAAGGTAGACACAGTCATTTAAGTATACATAAATATGCTATGTATATTTACCATAATCAAATAATAATCATTAATGATGAATAATGAAATCAATTTTAAAAGGCAATAAAAATTAACAAAGGCTATACATTTTCTGGAACATGAATAAAAATGGGATTCAGATAAGAGTAGTTCAAAGTAGTTATAACTCAGATGTAGCAACAATTAAAATACGAGACAATTATCCACATTAGAATGATATAAAGATATCATTTCAATCTATATTGTATCTACATGGCACATTATAATAAAAATATCAATAGATATTTTTGAGGACTAGAGAGATGGCTCAGTGGTTAAGAGCAATGGCTGCTCTTCCAGAGGACTTTGGATCAATTCCCAGCACCCACCTGGCAGCTCACAACTATCTATAATTCCAGTTCTAGGCCTTCTGACACCCTCACACAGACATACATGCAGGTGAAACACTAATGAACATAAAATAAAATAAATAAAACTTTTAGAAAACAGCATAGGAGGTTTTCCTATGACCTTGGAGTTGGGAAGGATTTCTCACAAAGCACAAATGAGTTTTTATTTTGTTAAGACCAATAGGGGCTGGAGAGATGGCTCAGCACCTAAGAGATCCTGCTGGCTTCCACAGGACCCAAGTTTAGTTCCCAGCATCTGCATCTGCATCAGTGGTTCATAACCACCTACAACTCCAGCTCCGGAGACATCCAGTGCCCTCTTTTGCCCTCCAGGGCATGTGCACACACATGACATATGGACACTCGTGCACATACATAGAAATAAGTGAGTCCTTTTTTAAGGTCAATGTTACTACATTGGCAGTCACATGCTTTGTTTCTTTCAAAAGACAGAAATAGCAAAATGGTGAGCCATGAGCCAAGGGAAGATGTGTACACCTTGTTTAACTGAAGAGGGATTCTTCTCCATTCTACATAAAGGACTCTCACAGAGCAGTAAGAGACAAAAGCTGGGGGTGTAGCTCCATTGGTAGAGCGCTTCCCTGGCACAGATGGAGTCCTGAGTTCAGTCTAAAGAACAGCATGGTGTGTTGGTAGTCCCAGCACTGGGGGCATAGATGCAGGAGGAGATTTGTTGTGGAATAGCATTT